GTCCTGCCTAAGACGGCCACCTGTCTTATACGGCCACTTTTCTCCTTGACAATGGGTGGCCGTCTTACACAGGTTCGACTGTATATATATAGAGATAATACATTCTAAGTACAGCATACGCTTAGCAATGAAAATCGTTTTCTCCTCTATGCCCCCAGGCTAATTAATTTGACCGCTATAGATCTATCATGTTGAAAGGGGTGGTAGATCATATCAAGATCTGTTAAATTTCTCCTTCTCAAGAAATTCAAATAAGCCTTGAAAATAGAATGTGGCTGTCTCAGGTCTGAATAAAGACAAAATTTTCTGTTAACCTTTGGAGAATGTTGGCTTCTCTGTAGCAATGCAATCATGCAGACAGCAGCTATGAAAGATAAAGACATAAATGTTGATAACCACCAGTTGTGAAATGGCTACAGTTTTCGCCTTGCTGAAAAATACATGAGTTCGATTTCAGTTTGGGAAAGGTTGTTATTGGAGTCCATCTGTCTTGGGGAGATGATGATACTTTCACTCCCTTAGTTTTTTCACCTTTTGATTTTTAATAATAATAATAATAATTATAAGGAAGATCATTTCTGTAGCGCCCACTCCTGTGTAAACACAGTTCTAGGCGCTTTACATAAATGCATGTATGAACAATATTCACACACGTGACACACACACACAAATACATGCAGACACACTCACACAAACACACATACACACTCACGAACACATAACATGTGCACACACATGTACGTCAAACACACACACACACACACACACACACACACACAGACATCTACTTGCTTATCACACGCGCACGCTTACACATCGTCACGAAATGACCATAAAATAATATACTCAGTGCAATTCACAAAATGCGTAAATGGATACATAGTCATTTACATAACATTGTATTAAACATGAATCTACTGACATAAAAAGGATGTCATTAAATGTGTCTTTAAAGAGTTTTTAAATTGAGACTCAGATGTTGTTTGTCTCAAGGGTTGGGGAAGAGAGTTTTTTTTTTAATGTAGAAAATGTAAATGTTTTTACGCGCCCTTCGGCACAATTTATTTAGATCATTTAGGATATGGGCTCCAGACACTGCCTGTCATGACTGAGAGGGATACAATTAATGTACTACATCCCAGCAAAAAGACTGAAATACCCGATAAAAGTTCATACCGCTCGGGAAGTGACCTCGGAGTCCCCTGCCTGTGGTGACAGCAAAGCACCTCACCGCTACACCACAGACACACAGCGGTACTTACTTAGTGTCCGTCCGCCTCTGGAGTTGTAGCACCTGCTGTGGCTGCATCGTCCTGTCCTGGTGGGTGGTTGGCGGGTGCTCTGGTGTGGTTTGCTTCTTCATTCCTATCAAGCATCTATCGCCCTTATATCTCCCCTCCTTTTTTTGTGTTTGTTACTATTTTGTAACACCTCTAATCTTCAGCACTTATATTGTGACCTTATTGTGTTGCAAGTGCCGTAAAACTCTTACTCAAACTAAAAGTCCCATCCTGGAGCGGCGGG